CGGACGCCCGGGCGGCCCGACCAGCCATGGAGGCCGAGGCAGGCGGCCTGGAGGAGCTGACGGACGAGGAGATGGCGGCGCTGGGCAAGGAAGAGCTGGTGCGGCGCCTGCGGCGGGGGGGGGGGGCGCGCCTGGCAGCACTGGTGCAGCGCGGCCGTCTTATGCAGGAGGTGAATCGCCAGCTGCAGGGTCACCTGGGAGAGATCCGAGAACTCAAGCAGCTCAACCGGCGCCTGCAGGCGGAGAACCGCGAGCTGCGCGACCTCTGCTGCTTTCTGGACTCCGAGCGCCAGCGCGGGCGGCGCGCCGCGCGCCAGTGGCAGCTCTTCGGGACCCAAGCATCCCGGGCGGTGCGCGAGGACCTGGGAGGCTGTTGGCAGAAGCTGGCCGAACTGGAGGGCCGCCAGGAGGAGCTGCTGCGGGAGAACCTGGCGCTTAAAGAGCTGTGCCTGGCGCTGGGCGAGGAGTGGGGCCCCCGCGGTGGCCCAGGCAGCTCCGGGGGTTCAGGCGCAGGGCCAACACCCGAGCTCGCCCTGCCCCCTTGCGGGCCCCGCGACCTAGGCGATGGAAGCTCCAGCACTGGTAGTGTGGGCAGTCCTGATCAGTTGCCCCTGGCCTGCTCTCCTGACGACTGAGGGCCCTGCTTGCACCGCGCCGACGCCCGCCTGAATTGCTCCCAGAACGCCAGAACTGCCGTGGACCTCTCAACCTGGCCACCGCCCCGACTACGCACGAGGGGCCGATGGCATGGATTAAGAAACCCTGGAACCAAGAAGGGTCCCTCGCTCTCGCTGGCAGGGCAGCAAGGGGACTGGAGCGGAAAGACTTGTTGGGGGTTGGGTGAGGGCTAATAAACCGGGGCGGAAGCGGAGCCCGCAGTTTGGGCAGCGTCTCTTTGGGTTTCGCCGGGGTCTGGGGCAAGGGCGGTGACGCTGAGACGAGGTACAATTCCCATTAGGACTGTCGACTAATGTGGCTGACTCCCCCATTGCCCCGAACCTGGGTGGGATGCGGGACCGTGGTAAACCACTCACTCGCCCCCATCCCCCGTTGGGTGCCGGGACAGGCCATAATCCGGCCCCTGAAGTGGCTCCAGCTCCCTTCCTGGTTCCTTCCTGTCCAAGACAATGGGGCAGGAAGCAGGTGTTGGGGACCTAGAACCCACTCAGCAGCCTTTTCTGAAGCTTGAAGGAGTTTGGGGGGGGTGTCATAACAGCGCCCCCCTGTGGCACAAGCAGGAGCACGGTGGGACCCCACCGGAGAATGATAATCCAATGCTTGCACTCCAGAGCGCTCTCCTTTCAGTTCTGTAGGTGAGGTGTAACACTTGTAGCCCCATTTGTCAGCTAAAACAGTGGAGGTTCCAAAATATCGAAGAATTTGTCCAAGGTCACACAGTCTGGGGCTGAGATAGGCATGTAGGGCTTCTGGATCCAACCAAGGAAACACTCAGGCCAGAGCTTCAAGCCTTTTATTCCATTTTGGCAGGTTTGTATAAAAATACTCTCTTTAGGAAAATAAATAGCAGCTGTCTTCTGTAGAGGCTTGGAATCCCTGGAACTAAAGGCTTCTTAGAGCAGGGGACTGCAGGTCAGCTCATCATGGAAGCCTCTGGCACCTCCTGAACTGTGCCACACAGGAAGGGCCAGCAAATGGCCTGGTCTGGTCACTTGCTGCTGCTGGCAGTGGGGGCTGAGTGAGTTAGTGTTCTAGGCTGGTAGAATGGCACCTTCTGTCAGGGGGTAGGGTTGAGTGGGTCATAGGCAGAAGGTCGTGGAGAGTGTGGGGATGGCCTGGAAGGGGTTAGGATTCCAGAGGACCTCTAGGTATTTACAAAATGTCTTCAGGCTGCCAGAATTTCTGTGGCCCAAATGGGAAATATTTGTCTCTGATTTAGTGTAAATTGTTATAGAGGCCAGCTCTAGAGAAACAGTGGGCAGCTTTGGTGGCCCTAAACTGGCTCTGTCACAAAGCAAAATGCTCAGTCTCATGTGGAGGAATGAAGACCCTGATGGGGGCATGCAGAATGGTCCAGGCCAGCTAGACCAATGGGTGTGGAGGAGAAGTTGGCTAGGGTAACACTGCAGGGAGTGGGGTTGGGGTACCTCACAAAGCAAGGAGAGTGGGGGACCCAAGGGGGTCAGAGGATGGGTCCCCACTGCTGCTGCTACTCTTGCGATGAGCTGAGGCACAGGGCTCAGGGGTACTGGGGTAGGTGAACACCAGACTGGGGGTGAAAGGAGTCAGGGAGGGTGTGGTCATGAGTGTGGGAGTGTGCAATGCCTCGGGTTCAAGCACAGGCCCTGGGGACAGGGAGATGCAGGGTACAGGGCGGCAGGGGGCTGGTGGGCTGCTCTTGCCACTGGTACTGGCTGTGTCTCTCTCTTTGGGTCCTTCTGGAATTTTACAGATGGGTCGGTGTGCTTCCAGCACCAGCTCTAGACGCTCCTTCTGCTTCTGCAGCTCCTCAATCTCTCGCTGCAGCCCGGATTTCTCATCCTCCAGCTTGTCAGTCTCCTGAAGGGGGCCAGAAGAGAAGTCAGGACGAGCAGGGTTGAATATCTCTGCCTAGTAGCTTCTGGTGGGAGGATGGCGAGGATGGTGGGTGGATTTGGGAGTCCCCAGTAAGCCCGGACTGCAATTCCCATGAGGCCCTGGGAGAAAATGGGCAGACTCCCATCAGGCTTGTGTTTTAGGAGATTGCGGCTGGGTTTGGGTTCTGCTGTGCCGAATAAGAGGAGCTGCAGCTGATTTTAATCGCCTTTTCCTCGACCTTTCCCAGAGGGACTGCCCTCTGATGGAGAGGGTGGGTGGATACACAGTAGGGCCCCGTGGGCTGTGTGCTGGGTGGGCCAGGGCCTGGATGCCCCCTACACCGGCCGGTGCTCACCGCCTGAAGGAAGTCGGTCAGTTCCTTCCTCCGGTTCCTACACTTGGCCGCGGCCAGCTTGTTCCGCTCGCGCCTCACTCGCCGGCGCTCCTCCTCCTCGGGGCTGATCTGGGTGGTGGGGAGAAAAACGAGACAGACCCTGAACCACTGGCTGCCTGACACTCACCGGCCCACAGTGGCGGTGGTAGGACCCGGGCTGAGCGCAGAGCAGAGCAATGCGGGGAGGCCCCCTCACTGTGATTTAGGGGCCACAGCAGCCTGACCAGTTCCCCGCAGCCGGCGCTAGCTAGTCAGCTTGGATTGATCAGATTCCCTCTCACCTCTGTTTTAGTGCTCATTCCTGTTCCCAAATGCCATCACTCTCCACAAACTTTACCCCTCCTCATCTCCCAGGACTCAATTACAATGCCCTGACCTCCAGGAAGTCTTCTCACCCCCCAGCCAGAAGTGGCCTTTTCTCCCTCTGATCCTCTGGGACCAGGTTACCCCTTTTCTCCAGACCCTCATCCTTCTGGACAACCTGGTGCCCTCTTCCACCAAGAACTATAAGCATTAGGAGGGTTAACCAGTGCTGCTGAGTAAGTTACAATTTATCAGGAGCCTACTATGTGCTAGCTAAGCACTTTACATAGCTTTTTTTTCCTCTTTACTCATGTGTGCAAGTGAATGTGAGAGACGGAGAGCGATGAATATCCTTCACAAGGTCTGGCTATACCCTATCCCCTTCCTCCAGCCCTCTAGCCCATGGGAATTTCAGGACCTGTGCATGTGCCTGGTGAATTTTGGGTTAAGGCTGCCAGAAATTTTAAACTGCAGACCCTGCGTGGGATCCAATTTCTCTTTAGCAGTGCATTACCCCTGTGCCATGGAGCTGACTCTACATCAATTTTTAAAAATTGTATTTGTTATTATTATTTGATTTGTGCTTATCAGAGAGAGACAGAGAAAGTGAGAAAGCAAGTCAACAGGTCCAAGACTCATATCACAGTTGGCCATGGGGGAGTCCAGCACCCTAACCACCACGCCATCTGTTGGCTCCTCCACACTGATTCTTAATTTTCTGTGTGAAACACTGAAGCCCAGAGGGGATGAACAACTTGTTTATGGCTCCAGAGCAGGCACTAGCATCCCTCACTCTTTTCAACACTGAGTGAAAGGCCAGCTGATAGAGACCGCCTCCTCCAAAAGGACCCCACTCAGCCACAACCTGGGGGTACCTAGGATCAAAGGTCACCATCAGGACAGGGCTGAAGGAAAGAAGTACTGCAGGTGTTACCCCTACCTGCTTCTGAGGCTCACACCATAATCCCCTTCTCCAGTTGGTCACAAAGGCCAGTCATTCTGTTTCTGGGAAACCTGCCCCTTAGCTGATCTCATATCTTTCCCAAGATCCCAACCTCCCTCTCCATCATCTATCCAGACATCAGAGGAAGCTTTTTTTTTTTTTTTTTGAGAAGTTTTTGCTCTAGGGTGTGTGCGCTCACCAGAAAGACAGAGAGAGACAGAAAGCAAAAAATCAGCCCCGAGGGGAGTGGGGGGGAATGGTCATGTCACCATCCCCTCTCCTCCATTCTCCTCTTGGGATCTTGGGCATACACACACACACACACACACACACACACACACACACGCCTGGCATGAGTTTAAGTCACTGGGTCCGGGACTCAAACCGCATTCGACTACATGGGAGTCCAGTAACATTAGCAATTATGCCAACTGCTGGTCCCTGGAGGAAGCTTTGTAATGTACATGCATCACCCCATTATCATCTCATATACCAACTCACCCCAGGAAGAGGGAAGAGAAGACACTCTCTTAAAGACCCTCCAATTCTAATTCATGAATTTTGGTAAGGACTTTGGAAGGCAAGAGTTCTCAGGTACCTTTGCTTTGAGCCTTCATTAGCTCCTAGTGAGAAGTGTAGTTTGGTGCATTAGGATTTGACTTTAGCATCAGATAGGTCTGGGGACAAGGTCTCTCCCAGTCCTGTCTTCTTACTCACTTCATGTGTGATCTTGGGCAATTCACTACTGCAGTGTATCTCCATTTCCTCAGCTGGCCGATGGGGGAGATCAGAGTACATTCCCCAGAGGGTTTTGGTGAGGATTACATTAGATAAGAAAAGTCCATCTCCATGGCCTGGGGGTTAAGGGAGCCATATCCCCTGTGGCAAACTGGGCAATTCAAATCCTGGTCTCCAGCAGTTTGAAAAGCACACCAGGCACATGTAGGTATATGTCCCAAATCCCAACAGATGGAGAAACGAAGAAGGGATTGTGGCATGACCACACTCTACTGTGCTTTTTTCCCTCTCCCTCTCTGTCTCTCTCTGGTGAGTTCATGTGCCTTCTAGCAAATTAAAACAAACAAACAAACAAACACCTCCTAAAATAAGATAGGAAATTAAAACCCAGACAGCAACTACAGGGAACCCTCTAATTTCTATTCTTTCCTCAATTACACAGATATCATAAGCCACCACCACCTTCATGCCTGTCAGCAGGCTCAGACCCTCTCACCTTTCCACATGCTCACCTTACACATTCTAACCTCCTCTTCCATTCTTTCTTTTTTTAGAAAAATATTTTATTTAACATTATTTATTTTTAAAATTGGACCAGAGAAGGGTAGAGCGAGAGCTAGAGCGAGAGAGTGAGAGAGTGAGAGAGAAAGTGAGAAAGCAAGCCAGGTCCAGAACTCAAAACCAAGGTCGGCCACGTGGGAGTCCAGTGTTAACTACCATACCACCTGCGGCCCCTCAGTCTTCCTTTTTATGGTGATTTCTGGTTTACATATAATCGTTGTACATCTCTGTGGGGCATCACCCTCCATGACTGTTCCTGCCATCCTTTACACTTGAAATGCCCTTTCCTTTCTACCACCTTTCTAGGCTAAAATGCCATCGTCTCCAGGAAGATTTCAGAAGAAACCTTTTGTCCTCTGGGACTCCCCAGGGGCTTGTATCACTTTCTACCTTGGGCAGTAGTCATCAGTGGCCCTACCTCCCCCTTCTAAGCCTGTGCTCACCTTTCCAGCAAGAACTTGCCCTCTGCACCCTAGCACTCCTGTGGGCAATCAGAACCAGTGCCACTGCTTACCTGTTCACAGGGCCTGCGACGCACCCCGGGAGGTGGCCCCACAACCCGGATGACTCCTGGCCGGGGCTGTGGGGGGCTGTACTGAGGATAGGCCAGAGGCCGAGGGTAGCTGCTGGGTCCCAGGAAGTGAGGCCGCACCATCCACTGTAGCTCCTGGCTACCACTCACAGCATTGACGCTTGGCCCAAGATGGAACTTCTGAGGGATAAAAATTGAAGGCCAGAGATGAGTCTGTGTGGACTGTACAGGGCTTTCCGTGGAAGAAGCCACATTGCTGTCTACCTTCCATGCAGATGCTGGTTCTGGGAGACCAGAAGCAGCATGACTTGGTAGTGAGATGGAAAAAAGGCAAATCCCTGCTCATGAGCTGTGTGACTTTGAGCAGTTTACATAGCCACTCTGTGCTTCTAGTTCTCCATCAGAGTTAATACTTACAAAGAGTGAACTGCCAGGCACTGTTCAAATACTGACTCATATAATTGGCACACTAGCATCTTCATTTTCAAACAGGAGAAACAGTTATACACAGACGCACAGCCAGTAAGTAGCAAATGGGATTACAGACTAGGAGACTAGACTCTTACCCACTCCTACACCCATCTACATAAAGAAGATAATTATGCTTCTGGTTCTCAGAGTGGCTGTGAGAATCAGGTGAGAGAATTTGTGTGACAAGAGTCTGGTTAAGTGGCAGCTACCCAAAGCAGAAGGGCTGTGGCAGACAAGAGCCACTGCTTTGGGTTCAGGCTGTCCCACAGTTAATCTCAGCTCAGCCACTTGGCTGTATAACTCTGGGCAAGTTATTTCATGACAATGTGCCTAGGTTTTCTCATTTTTTAATATTATCATAGGTAAAGATTACAGCATTTGGTTGATGCTAAGAAGTAAGCTTTAATAGCGCTGAAAGCATGGTTTAATAGGCCATTCAAAAAACTAGTGGCAGGGGAACCAGCAGTTAGCGTAATGGCTATGTGGCTGGACTCCCACGTAGTCGACTGCGGTTCGCGTCCCGGACCCGGTGGCTTAAAACTCATGCCGGGAGCGTGTGCGTGCGTGCCCAAGATCCCGAGAGGAGAATGGAGGAGAAGGGATTGCGGCGTGACCATCCCCTCTGGGGGGTGATTTCTCGCTTTCTGTCTCTATGTCTCTCTCTGTCTGTCTGGCGAGCGCACGCGCCCTATAGCGAAAACCTCTCCAAAAAAAAAAAAAAAAAAAAACTAGTGGCAGGAACTAAGCAGGTGGTGTGGTGATTAAGGCACTGGACACTCCCACATGGCTGAACATGGTTCGAGTCCTGGACCTGGTGCCTTGCTTTCTCACTTTTCCTCTCTCTCTCTCTCTTTGTGTTTCTCTCTGGTCAAATTAAAATAAATGAATGAATAAACAAAATTAAAGACACAATTAATAAACTAATGGCACAAAATAATGGTGGTATTTTTAAACCTCTAGGACCTTACATTCCATAATATATGGTAAATGAGGAGGAAAGTGGCTGGCACTACACCTGGCAACATGCGTAAGGGTCTTGGTGCTCCTGTGACCATTCTTTTACGGACAGAAATCTAAAGAATGGGTTGGAATGAGGGCTCAATTTCTAGGCAGAGAACAGGTTCGAGCCCTATGGGCGCTGGGCCCTGGGTGTGGGCGCTCAGTCTTCCGGGAAGGGCTCCTCAAGCCCAGGCAAGTCCCGGCAGCGGTGGCCCCAGCCCAGGGCTGTGGGCCCAGCGGCCCAGTGACCCCAGTTCCGGGCCCAGGGCATCGCCGGCGGCATCTCGCGCTCCCGAGGTTGTCGGGCTGTCGGGCTGCTCGGGGCCAGGAAGGGAGGGGCGCCCAGGGTGAGTCAGCCACCGTGACTCGGCCGCCGTGACTCGGCGGAACGGACGCCGCTCCTTCCCTCCCTGGCAACACGTGCTCGTAGCCCCTCAACAGGAAATGAGCACCTGCAGCCTCCTCTGCCCCCCACCTCCCCGCAAACGGCAATGGGCGCCGCCGGGTGCTGAAAGGCGGGGGCGCAGATGTCGCCCGCAGCATGTCCCCGCGCACGTCGCGACACCTCGCGATCTCTACTTGCCCCATCCAGCTAAGGGGTAGAGAGCCGCCTCCGGAGTTCCGCTGCCCAAGCCCACCAAGCTCCACGTGCGGAGAGACAGCGACGTGGCAACGCTGTACGGAAAGACCGACACAACGGACGGACACAAAGACAGTCGCAGAAAGTGCGAGGATTCCCATTGTGCCCTGACTGGTTTTCAGAGGAACCCGCCACCCCACTGTGTCGGGGCGTCTCAGCTTTAGCGCAGACTGCAGACCCCAGGAACTCAGCCCGAGATGGAGACGCCCTCTAATCTTGTTGGGGCTGGGACTAGCCCAGGTATCCGGGGTCCCTTCTGAGGCAGGTGGGTACACAGAAATTAGCGGTGGACAGGAGGAAAGAAAGACGACGGAGGGACCGATAGCACATCTTTGAGAGCCCTCTGGGTCGTGAGGGTGGCGGAGATCTCGGCCCAGGTCCCCAGACCCGGGAGCTCCTTTTGCCCGCCCCAGTTTCGGAGCGTACAGGAGCCAGCGCCGCCGTCATAAGCGCTGTCCACCCTGGACCCCAGGAGCCAGGTCCTCACCTGCTGAGCCGCCGCCTGCGCCGCGGCTGGGGGCTGCGCGGGGCCACCGTACGCGCTGCCGGCTCCGGAGCTCGGTCCGGGTTCCCCAAAGTCTCGGAACATTCCCTGGTCTGGCTGCTCTGTAGGGTCCGCGTCGGCGGCTTGGGGTCTGACTCACTGGAGCCTCGCGGAGTCCTTTCTTTTTATGAATGAAGAGTTCTCGGGCTGAACCACTTGGACCGCGGGGGGTGGGGGCGTTTCGCAGCCGCGCGGGTCACCTCCAGGCTCCACCTCTCCAGACGGTACCGCCTTTTGCCAGTCGGAGCCGAACTTTTCCACGCCTCCCACAGTCAGGCAACTGCCTTACCGTGGGGAAAGGGGTAGACCGGGCGCTCCCTACAGACCTCGGCGGACCCGCCCCCTCTGACGTAGTTGCCCTTACATGGTGCAATTTCCTCGCCGCGCCCAGGTGGAGCCGAGGATTCCCCCGTGGATTGACGCACCTGCCGGGAGCCGGGAGCTCCGCCCCGCCCCGCCCCGCCCCCGAGCGCAGCCCGCAGGACGGCCGTGGCACTCTGGGCCGGCGATCCCGAGACTTCTCCCGACCTGGGCGTGCTTCCGTGTCGGCTTTTGTAAAACAGGACGAAATAATCACAGAGCTACCTTGTCGCGTGAGGGGGACAGAAGTGAGAATGTGAAAACGGCCCGGAAACTGTATAATGGATTATGAATGTGATGGATTGTCATCATTATTATTTACCGAGTGCTTATTTCATGTCAGGAGCCACGTCAACTAACACCTATGGCTTCACAGTCGGGGCGTGAGGCCCCTCCACTGGCATTGTTATAAGGCTTCAGCTATATTAAAAAATGAATAAATGACAAAACAAGGTTACAAAAATGGTGGCGTATTTTAAATGCTGGCAATAAACATGGTAATGCTTTGAACTACCCACAAATATAATGCAGTATAGTTGTGTTCCTTAGAATAACTTCTGCAGTTCTAATGAGTTTTAATTCAGAGCCCCGACATGCAGAGGGCCTGCAGTGCGTGGGTGTCCTGAGAGCTGATGAATCCCCTCTTTATTGTCAGTGCTCTTTGGGCACTGTGTGGTCATCATCTTCTTTGAAGAATGTGTCAAACGTTGAGGCCAGCAGGTGGTGAGGTGGTTAAAGAGGCTGGACTCCCATATGGCCAACCACAGTTTGAGTCCTGGACCTGGTAGTTTGCTTTCTCAGTTTCTCTTTATCTCTGTTCTCTCCTCTCTCTCTGTCTGTGTCCCTCTACGGTCAAATAAAAATAAACAAATAAATAAATTAAATATAATAATTATTTTTTTAAAAACGAATGTGTCAAACGTTTGAGTGAATGTGAGGACAGATGTGTTCAGGAAGACCGCTATGGTCCTCCATTTTACTGAAGAGAAACTGGGGCTGAAAGATCCTCAAACGAATTGCCCAAGGTCACTGAGTGGCTGAAGCAGCGTGCCAAGCCCAGGCTCAGCCAAGATTTTTCAAAGCCCTCACAGCTTCACAGAACGGTTCACACATGCCAATGTTCGTGCCGAGAGCACCATCCCAAAGCGTCTTTTCCACTTCCTCCCACTTTGCAGATGAGGAAACTGAGGCCCAGAGAGAGTAGTGCCGCTGGCACACAACTACAGAAAGAGGGCAGAGTGCTCCTGCTTTCCCACCAGTACCTCCATTTGAATGACTCCAGTTTTGCTATGGAGTTGGAGGTGGGAGATGCCTGGTTCCTGGGCTACCTGCCTTGGGAATAGAGGTCGGGGCCTGTGGGTGCTCTCAGGGTGGAGAACCAGGAGGCCAGCTTGGTTCTGGAAGTTCAGGTCCAAAGCTACCATTTTCTATCTGTGTGACCCTGAGCAGGTCACCTACCCTCTGAGTCACAGTCCCAGTTGGTCCTGCCTGCTCACCTCACGGGGCTGCTGTAGAATCGAATGAGATCACAAATGTGAAAGTGCTACGTAAGCTCTGAAGTGCTGCGCACTTGGAAGGTGGTTACCAGCCCGGTGCCTCTCCCTTGTCCTTGTTCTACTCACTGTTGTCTTTTGTTAGTGTGTGAGGGAGAGAGAGAGAGAGAGAGAGACAGACAGACAGAAATCAGGGCGGGGATTTTTTGAGGCAGCGTGACCCGTGGCAACAACAGGCACGCTAGAGTCATACAGCTTTGGGTTCTGGGTTTGAATTCTGATTGGGCTAGTTTGTGTGTCCTAGATGAGATGCACAATCCTTCAGAACTTGGTTTCCTCCTTTGTAAAATGGAGACCTAGTGATGGCTACATCTCAGGGTTGTTGGGGCATAGAAATAAAATAATGTCACCTGCTTAGCACAGTAAGAATTTGACAAATAGTAGCAAAAATAAATTCATATGTTAATAAAAGTCCCAGGGGTGGGAGAACTCTGATCACATGTGAAGGCATCACAAATCACTATGCATACACATATACATGTGTACATACACACACACTGATATATGAGGTCCTTGGCTGGGCCCAAGCTGGATAGGTCAGGGGTGACACAGGCAGCATCTGGTGGCACAAAGACTGCAGCCACCCACCTGCTCCAGAAATGTCACTCTGTCCGCTCCCCAAGCAATCTAAGGCAGCTGACTGAGCAGGGGCTCAGGACTCAAATATGTGTGTGTGTGTGTGTGTGTGTGTGAGCATGTGCATGCACCCGTGTGTGATTTCATTACTTTGAAAGTCCCTTCCTGCTCTAACCGTTGGCGGAGCCACAAGGAGGTCCTTTCAGAGGGAGCACATTCCAAGCTCCTCAGTCATTAACGCCCGCCTCGTGGCCACAGAAACGTTCCTGGTCCCTGACCTCACCAGCTCCCACCCAGAGAGGCCAAGAAAGAACCCCAGGGGGCCACGGCAATTGCTGGGAGTCTGGAGGGTGGGGAGTCACATCCCCTCTCTAAGCTCCAGAGAATCCCCTCCCTCGGGTCTGTAGTGAGGCAAAAAGTCGATGGATGAGCTGCTTGGCACCCAGGAGCTCTCAGTGCCGCCAGGGCTGAGAGGTGATGTTTACGGTTTTCAGCTTTCATTCACTCTTCATAGAAGTTTATTTTTTTAAATTGAGATGGAATAGTGTAACATACAATTAACCATTTTAAAGTGCACACTTCAGAGGCATTTAGTACATTCGCCATGTTGTGCAACCATCACCTTTCTCTAATTTCAAAACTTAATCACTCCAGAAAAATGCCTCCATTACTTATTAAGTAATTCTTCACCATTCCTCCTTCCCCTAGCTCCTGGTAATTATTTTTTAGAATTATTTTATTTAATTTTATTCATTCATTTTTAACTTGACCAGAGAGAGACACACAGAGAGAGAGAAAGTGAGAAAGCAAATCACCAGGTCTAAGACTCAAACTGTGGTCAGCCCTGCAGGAGTGTCCAGCTCCTTAACCACCACACCCCCTGCTGATCCCCATAATTGCTAATCTTCTTTCTGTCTCTATGGATTTGCTTTTTCTGAACAATTCATGTAAATGGAATTGCACAATATGTGATCTTTTGTTTTTATTTTTGAATGTGTTAGAGGGTGTGTGGGCTTGCCAGAGAGAGACAGAGAGAGAGGGAAATAAGAAAGTACCTCCCATGGGGGATAGTCACGCCACAATCCCCTCTCCTCCACTCTCTCCTTCTGAGATGTTGGGCATGTGCACACATTTGCCCAGGATGTTTTTCAGGCTGCTTGGCCTGGGTCTCAAAATTGTGCTGTCGGCCATGTGCGATCCAGCCACCTTAACCACCAGGCCATGGGCTGTGACCTGTGAATCGAATGAGATCACAAATGTGAAAGTGCTGTGCAAGTTCTGAAGAGTGGCACACTTGGAAGGTGGTTACCAGTCTTTTATGACTGGCTTATTGTTAAACTTTCAAAAAAAAAGTCCTGGACCCAGTGGCTTGAAAAACATGCCAGTCACATGTGTGTGCATGCCTAAAATCCTAAGAGGAGAATGGACCAGAAGGGATTGGGGCATAATCTAGCCCCCTGAGGGGTGCTTTCTCACTTCCTTTATCTCTGTTTCTCTCTTTCTTTGGTGAGTGCACACACCCTATAGCAAATTACAAATCGAGGATTCAACCTTGTAGTCTAGTGACTATACTAGTCTTTGTAGTCCAGTTTGGCCCTATGGGAGCTGGATCCCATATTGACAACTGGGGTTTGAGTCTTGGCCCCAGTAGCTTGAAAACTGTGCCAGGCAAATGTATATTCATGCCCACAATCATGACAAAACAGAGAATGGGAAGAGAAGGGATTGCACTATGATCATGACCCACCAGAGGCTGATTTTTCCCTTTCTTTCTCTCTCCCTTGGTCTGACCCACTGGCGAGCTCATGCACCCACGGCAATTAAAGAGGAAAAAAAGGAGTGGGGCCAGCAGGTGGCAAGGTGGTTAAGATGCTAGAATTCCCAGAGAGAGAGAGAAAGAGACAAGCACCCTTAACAGGGTCCCATGCCATGATCCTCCCCCTAGCCTTCTCAATCAGCCATGCTGGCATGTACTGGGCATGTAAAAGTTGACCTGGGATCTGAACTCCAGCCTCTCACATGGCTGCCAGCATTGCAGAGCATCATGCTGCCACTGTGCCACCACGGCTGGGCCAATCAATCATTTTGAAAGGCTTTGAGTTTTAGAAAAATATATGTATATATTTGTACTTACATCTATACCTGTATTTGTATATTCCATGAGGTGCGGAGAATAACTTATTTTAAAATAGATTTTTTTCTATATATTTATTTATTTTATTTACTTTTTGCTATAGGGCACGTGCATTCACTGGAGAGAGACAGAGGGGGAAAGTGAGAAAGCACTTCCCAGGAGTGATGGCCATGCCTTAATCCCTTCTCTCTTACTCTCCTCTTGGGATTTTGGGCATGAACACACATGTACCTCGCATATTTCTCAAACTGTTGGGTCCCCGTTTGAACCACATAGTCAAACATATGAGATTGAGGGAACCAGCAATTAGCGTAATGGCTATGTCGCTGGCCTCCCACCTAGTCGATCGCGGTTCGTGTCCCGGAGCCGGTGGGTTAAAACTTATGCCAGGTGCATGTGCGTGCGTGCCCAAGATCCCGAGAGGAGAATGGAGGAGAAGGGATTGCGGCGTGACCATCCCCTCTGGGGGGTGATTTCTTGCTTTCTGTCTCTCTGTCTCTCTCTGTCTGGCGAGGTGAGAGTGAGCCACCTTAACTATCATGCCACCTGGCTAAGGCCAGTTAAGATGTTTTTTATTGCATTTCTTTTTCATTTAAAAAAAATAATTATTTAGGGACCAGCAGTTGACGTAATGGCTATGTCGCTCGGCTTCCATGTAGTTGGCCACAGCTCGAGTCCTTGACCTGGTGACTTAAACTCACGCCGGGCGTGTGTGCGTGTGTGCCTAAGATCTCAAGAGGAGAATGAAAGAGAAGGGATTGCGGCATGACCATCCCCCTGGGGGGTGATTTCTCGCTTTCTGTCTCTCTGTCTCACTCTTTCTGGCGAGTGCATGCGCCCTTTAGCAAAAACCTCTCCCCCTCAAAACTTATTTATTTAATTTGTTTATTATTATTCTTCAATTTGACCAGAGAGAGAGAGAGAGAGAGTGAGGGACAGTGAGAAAGCAAGCCGCCAGGTCTGGGACTCGAATAGCGGTTGGCCGTGTGGGAGTCCAGTGCCTTAACCAACATGCCACCTGGTGGCCCTGCATTTCTTTTTCAACTAGAAATATTTTAAAATTGTATTTCTTTTTGTACTAGATTGCACATTTATAGACTTCAAAATCCAAAAGCTACAAAAGGGTACACAGTGGGATACCCGTCCTCTCCATAGTAACCAGTTTATCTTTTTACCT